GTAAAATTACTTAGTGCGTGCTTTCATTCCTGTGAATATAAAATTGATGCTACTTGAATGACACTCAATTCAGGCTTTTTTAGTTTAACTCGATCAAGTGTACGTTCCAACAAAACTTTGATGTTGTATCAGCAAAATTAGCTCATTGTGGTCATTTAGACAGTATATTACTTCAAAAGAGCGTTTAGAGTACCTTTGTTTGTTTGATAATAAGGTGGTAGTGAAAAGACCATCGTTTAAACGCTAATAATATGACGATGCGACAGACGCTTCGTACATAGCTTTGCTGTAATCAGATTGCGAGAAGAAGCCAAAAAACTATAAACTTTAAAATCAGGGCGAGTATAACTATCAGTAGCTGTAGTTGCCTTTGGTAACCTAGTACAATTAATGTCTATGTTCAATGCTGGGTAGATCTTTATGGAAATCAAATATGATTTTGCGCCAGCTACGTTATGTTATTGCTAATTTGAAAATTTTTATTTTATATCATTGCACCTGTCTAATACTTTTCTTTTTGCTGTCTTTCCCCTCTTTTTATTAGAGATTGAATTGCTAATAATAGGAATCAATATTTTTTGATATTACAAATATGTTATTAATGTTGATATATCATGATACTTGTAGTGTTTTTCAGATATATTATAGTATTATCTGTGTACGTACATAACAGTTAACCATAACCAACGCATCGAAGGCGGTTAACCTGCTATTGCGAAATCAAATTTATTTTCCTTTTTCAGTTATCGTAGCTCCGGCCCAGTCCATGTGGTCTCCGGCTGGGCCATCATGGCTAGCTGAGCATCAACCTCCTCAAATCACTGCTGCAGTGAGCAGTACTCACCTGACACAAGCATCTAATGACTATAGCCCTCCTACTAAATGGCCCCGGGCTACAACGCCGGTCAACGCTCGTACAACGGACTCTTTCCTGCTAGGCACCTCTGCTGATTCTGGCGTCTATATGAATCTGACTTTTAACAGTCCTCCAATTGTTAATAAGGTAAGTGATTCGATCTTGTACTGTGCTAACATAGTGCTTCAACTCCTACGTTTTTGAGTGCACTGTAGAAACGTCCTTTTTTTGCCTAATCCTTTTCTAAGCACCCACTCGAATTAAAAGCGTAGAATGGCGTCTTCCTATTTGAATGTCTCGGTTTTTTTTT